CTGAGATCTCTGCAACCTCACCCACGCGAGCAGCAGATTTTTCTCTAGTGCTAATGCAGCCCTCATACCCTACCTCTTTAGGTGCACCCAAGGAATAAAGGCTTCATAGCCTTCACCTAGCATCCCATTATCTGCCTGAAACATCTACAAAGAAAAGAGCATCAGGAAAAGAGCTTTGGAACTGGAAAGCCTGTTCAACTCAGCATGCTCATCCTCTCCTGTTTACCAAGTCCCCTAATTACCTCCTCTCTAAATCTACCTCCAACTCATTCATATGCACAGCTTTCAGCACTTGCCTTGATAGATCAGTCCCAAATTTCATCCTCACCTGCACTTGGTGTAAGGCAGTTAGCTCTGTCTCAGTCCCTAATTCCCTCCTACCTCTCTTTATTTTATGCCCTGCCCCTTAAGCAGCATCAAGGCTGCTCCCTCCGTAGTTTCAGATGGGATTTCCAGGGAGGCTTCCCCAGGAGCTCAGGGCAGCTCTACAACCACAGGCAGGCTGAAGAAGCACTGACTGGTTTTGAATCCGGCTTTTTTTTCAGTTGCTGATTGTCCCCTTATTCCCCCGGCATGAGGAGACAGAGCAAACAAAGCCCAGGGTTTATCTTTGTTCCCTAATACCGTAACATTGGGACGGGGTAAATGGGAACTGCCCGATGGAGGTTCTGATACCGCTGCGAGACGATGGGCTGAATTAGCAGAGAAATGATTTGATTAACGAAGAACAAAAAGAGAATAGGGTAACTAATGTCCAGGAACACATCTTTATGGACAATGAATCACTTCACATTAATTTTATATTTCTATCAGACTACAAGCTTGATCAACTGGTCTGAGATTTCAGTGAGGCACTTGACTTCATATCTCACATTTTGATTAATAAAACATAAAACCAATGTGATGCATATGCCGTAGATTTAAAATGATTAAATCGAGCAGCAATGCTTCGAGCAGACTCCCACGGGATCGATCTCAGCCTTGCACTGTTCAAGGCGTTTATCAGTAACTTGGAGGAAGCAAAAACCCTCTCAGAGGAAAGTTCACAGGTTACAGCCTGGGAAAGACACGCATAATGAATCAGGCAGAGGCAGTCACCTGTCAGATCGCACATCTGGAAATACAGACTACAGACCAACTTCAGGGAATAAGTGTCTACGAAGGGGAACAGCGACCCTGAGGAGCCTGTCCCAGCGCCTGTGAAGACCCTTCTCCTAACACCCAGCCTGACCTCCTGCCTGCTGTGCGTTTGGCTGAGCCATCTGAGCGAGCTCAAAGCGAAAGGCACGGCTCCATCTCGGTGTGCCAGCAGCTGTGCTTGGGAAAGGCTTCTCAGAGCTCTTCAGCCTGCTAAATAAGAGAGCTGGAAAATGAAGTGGGACTTCCTCGGTACAGAAATAAGACACAAATTTCCAAACACGACAGTAACATCCTTTACTAGGAATTGTTGTGAACTACCCAGCCCCAGAAAACATTAATTAGGATCGCATGGTCTTTTAAGGATTATTCTCTACCCAGAGCTGCTGCGCTTGTGCATCAGTCACTGTAAAATGGCAAATCTTAAGGTCCAGCACGTGCAGAAAACAAATTCAACAATGTCAGCGATTCCTTTCTTACCTAAATGCGTTTACTAATACTACACTTGCTGACCTAAACCTTTTACTAATACTTTATTTTCTATTTTTTAAATTCACAAACAGCACCCCCTAAAAAGTTTAATCCCTGCTGCCCCCTTGACTCGCCCAGCCAGCGATTACTGCCTGCAGCCACCTCAGAGCCCATGACTCTGGTTTCACACCGTGCTGCATAGGAACCCACACACAAAATGGTAAATTGCTTCCTAAAGCAAGCAAAACTTTTGGTTATTAAACAGCAATGAATTCTGGATACTGAACTGATACTGATGCAAGCACATGGAAATATATTTATGACTTTAAAAGATTAAAAAAGAAAACTGCATAAAGAAAACCAGGCAAGGCTGAAATGGTTTCTGTGCAATCAGCTTCTCAGAGCCTCAGTGGTGAGCAACATAACATCATCTAAGTCATTTTTATTATTTTCAAAACAAAGACCAGCTGTTTGGTAACAATCTGTTCCCAAGGATAAACTTCAGTTTTTCAACTCTTTTCTTGTCATTTTTACATCGGTTGCCAATGTATTTTAGTGGCCTCAGTTATTTACTTTTTTTTATAGCTACTACAGAAAATAAATGCAACATCTTTGTTTCAATCTCTTTGGGATGTCTTCTGACATCTTAATTTCCATAAATTGCAAAGTTTAGCCTTTCCTTTGAGTTGCACACTTAAAAAAATCTCTACCTTAGCATCCGTAAGTCAAACAGATTTATAAATGAACCTTCTTGTGTTACCCTCGCTAGCAACTCCGTGAGGTTGAACATATAGTTTCACTACAGTGAAATCATCATGTCACTAAACAACACAGTGATGCAGGACAGTTCTGCTTTTTTATTAACCGATATACAAATGGATTTTGATTCGAAGAGCTTGCCTCAGGATTTCTTTTTGTCACCACCCCACTGCACGAGCACTTGGGAAAACACTGCGTGTGATCGGTGCGTAGATTGTGCAGACAGAATTTCCTAGACAGCAGCCAAAATCACTGCATACGGGGTTTTTGGTCATTATGAAGAAAATGTATACACGTGCATGGAATACGGGAGGAATGTCAGGAGCAGAGCTACTGCAGCTGCGCCAACTGAGGGATCAAGCCCGATCATAATACCTGAAAGCGGGAGCGTTTGGCCACAACATTTACCTTCTTTGTTTATCTTGCACTACTTTCTTCTGTTTATCTTCCTCTACTTTCTCCCATATCTTCTCCATACTCAAAGACAGTAGGAATCACATGGGGAGTCTCCCTTAAAAGAACACCACACTGCTGCCAGGTGCACGACAGGACAGCCAAGGTACCATCGGTAGTTTCAGATCTACAGCAACACGGTTCAGAGAAAGCGTGGAAACAGGCTCTGCCTTCGAAGTCTGAGTATTTATTCTTTCCAGCTTCTCACACCTTTGCACAGCTGCTGTCGAGGCCCTCCCAGGCCCCGGGCACGTTGGAGTTGCCCCTCAGCCACCCGTGGGCATGGGATCGCTGCTCTGGTTTGCAGAACGTGACTGGCCTTTCTTCTGGTGGCAGCAAGCACGAGATGCACGTGTGCCCTTCGTGTCCTGTCTCATGTGCCTAGAGCTACCACCAAAACATTGGATCAAAGCCTGGACTTCTCTCTTGTTCATTTCTTTCTCAATTCCAGAGCATTTCGCTTTTGTCCTTTGTCGTAGGCCTCTTCAAATGGAAGTTAGGTTTAAGAACACTACAGCTGCCTCAGCAGCAAACTACGTGTGTGAGACGTACAGGGGTTGGTTCCTCCCAATGTCTGAAGCCTCCCAGTGGTATCCCACCTTGCCAGGGGGAAGGCAGCGTTCAGTCCACGGCCCTTAGGGTTGCAAGTAAAATGCCAACTAGTTCAGTAAGTGCAGTAGCTCCTTCCTCAGACTCGACAGAAGGGAGTTAAAGCAGTAAATAAACACCAAAACGCTTATTATTTTTAATGAAATGTTGACATGTTTCAGTGCCGAAGCCTAAATTCATATGCAAATATCATCAGTATTTATTTCCCCAGAAACAACTGCTCCCAAATGACTAAGAAAATGCCAGAAACAAAATTACTCACATTCCCCTTCCCTTTATTCATCAACCTGATTGTGAGAAGGTGTATCAGATTTCAGAAAATACTGCAGTGGAGACTAGAGGCTGTCGGATACTCAGTACACGACTGGATGGCTGAATTTGGCTGAAAATAAGATTGCAAATTTCTTCACTAACCATGGGTTTAAAACAAGCAGCAAATATTCTTTATGGGCAAAACGTAGACACCTTTCATCCTCATCTAAGATCTGGGGTGCTTACCTTAATCTAAAGAGAACAGTTTCATCACGGTTGTTTCAGCATACATGAATTTAAAGTACCTTGTATCTAGACAAATCCTAAAATCGGCAATATTTTTTAAGAGCTAATGGGGAATAACTCAGGTCCAGGAAAGCAGTGGGAGCACGGTAACTCCTGACTGGTGGATGCATGCTCCTAGAGGCCTGATTTTTTCAGCCCACGTGGTAGGTGCATGCATAGTTTTGAATAAAATGAGTCAGAATTGGAAATTCTCCCTGTTCGTTCACCCATCCTTGCAGAGGGCAGGTATCTGCACCTGTTTTCCATTGAGCTGATCAGGCAGAACATGAAAAGAGCAACCCGAAATGGCTGGTTTCGTAAAACTTGGGGTTGTATTTCTGGAGAACAGACTTCTGCCTTCCTGGACATCCTCCTCCCGTGGACACACGGGAAGGAACAGACTTTTCCCTGGCAAGTTCATCACTCAAACAGGCAAGCACAAAGGATGACTGACTGACTGACAACACAGCAGGCGTATTTTAATGTTTCCAATCCCCTATTCCCCCACTGCAGCCCCTGCCATGAGTTGCTGGAGCTAATGGAAAACGCATCCACAAGCAGTGTGCCTCCTTCTCCATGGGTGTGGACACGGTCCTTTGGGTTTGTGCGGGCTGGGACGTGGCCCTTTGGGGACAGAGCAGCTTTTTGGGGCTGCTGCTCAAGGCCAGGAGCCGTGGTCACGCCGTGTGGCCACCGTCACCTCGCTCCTCAGCCTCCGTGCCCCCAGTGCCCTGCTTCGTCCCCACACCGTGCGCTGAGGTGAACCCACCAAAAGGACAAAACATTTGCCAGTGGGTAAGGCAAGCACGTACATGCAGGCTCTTCCCATGTATATAAATACGCTCTGGTGGAGAAAGCTGTGGTAAAAATGGTGTGGAACAGCCGCTGTTCCTCGGGCTGAGGCAGCGGGGCTGAGGCACCACGTCCCGCTCCGCCAGCTCGCACCCTCCCGCTCCCCCAGCCCTAAACCCCCACGGGCTCGCCTCCCACCCCCAACCGTCGCCCCCCCGGCCCCCGAGGCCTCCCCTGCTTACCCTGCTCGGCCCGGCCGCCCGGGGCGAGCGCGATGAGCGCGGCCGGCAGCAGCAGCAGCACCGCGGCCCCGGCCAGGCTCCGGGGGCCGCCGAGGGCCGGCGGGGCGCGGGGCGGCGGCGCGGAGCCGGGCCCCGGGGGATGCGCCCCGCGCCGCCGCGACATCTCTAGAGCAGGGGCTGCGGCGGCAGCAGCAGGAGAAAGAGGAGGAGGAGGAGGAGGAGCGGGGGGCTCCGCATGGCGCCGGCGGCCGCAGCCGCAGGACGCGCTGCCCGTGCCCCTCCTCAGCTGCAGCTCCGCCACAAAGCGCCCCCCGCGCCGCCAGCCCCGGCCCCGCCGCCCGCCCTCAGAGCGAGGGGAGGCGGGGAGCGAAGGGCGGGGGCGGCGCTGTCGCCGGGACCCAGCCCTCGGTGGGCGCCTCAGGGCCCCCGGTGCCGCTTCGGGCGGTCCGGCCTCGCGGCGCTAATTGGCTCCGGGCACAATGAGCTGCGAGCGGCTGCCACAAAGGGAAGATGGCAGGGACGCGGCTGCCACCGCCACAGCGCTCCGCTGAGGGGCAACGGCGGTAGCGCAGGGCCCTCTGGCGGTACCGCGCCCTGCCTGTGTGGAGACTCCCCCCTAAAACCCCTCTCACTACCTTCATCTACCAGCTTTTGGCATCAGAAGCTTTATAGACACAGACCCGTCAATAAATTAGCTCTGACAGCGTTTGTTTCTGGGTCTAGCTCACTCACAGTCACTCTCCTCCGTTATACACTCTGTGCATATAAACATATATTAACACTTTTTTTCCTAACATTTTTAGTTTAAGTCCTTTTAAAGACACGTATTTCGCAGCATGGTGTACTGGGTCTGGCTGGAATGTTAACTTGCCCTGCAGCAGCCCATACAGTGAAAGTAAAACCACCACGCATGGTGAATTACCCTTACAACCCACAAAAATTCACTCAAGTTTTACCAAGAAACTGCACTTAACCACTCCCTAGACCTACCCCTAGACCTACCTTACCTGATTCCATTTACCTTCATGGGTCAGAAAGGTAATTTCAAGCCCTCAGAGGGGTATCCGTGCATCCACACCTGGTGTTGGGATCTGTTGACTTGTATACAGGCTGCCCTAGAGCATGCACATGCCCTGTATACTTGATAACCACATTTTTTAATCCATTTTTAATCACATTTTTTTAATCCATTGCTGTGTGTGTAAATTACTCACATTAATGTGAATCTGCCCTCATCGTCAGCACTGTAGGGCTTTGTGAGTGATAAGGAACAGCAGCTTCTCTGTTGCTTCCCAGGGCAGGACCATCTCTCCAGCTGAAAACCAAAGCTGATTCATTGATAAAACAAAGCCTGATCCCCAGCCAGCTTGTCCCACTACAGTTCTGCAGCATGTGACAACTCCACTGAGTCCGAAGGCTTTTCCTTGAATGAATGCTATCGCAACTGCAGTACAAATTTGTCCTGTGCACTGAGTGCTGGAGTCTGGGCCAGATAAACACCTCCTCGGGTTGCACGAGCAGAGCACATAGAAAAACGTACCTTTTGGTTTGGCTACACTAAAGGCAGATTGCTGAGCCCCTGCTAAGCATGCCCTGCACGTTGCTAAAATTTAAAATCTCGAACCAAAGAGAAGCTTAGCCAAATGACTACACCATAGTTTAAGAGTTGGAACCATTCACATGATTTTTTCCTTGCCTTTACCTTAACCCAGCCCGGATCTAACACAACAACAAAGAAAGCCACCAAAGATCATCTGCTGCAATATATATTTTAATTCAAAGTGAATCTCGACAGTAATACACCATAAATTCTTATTTTGACACTCACCAAAATAGTCACCTGGAAAACCCGCTTTTTGTGACAAAGTACAGAAGGCTTGGTCACATTTAAATCACTGAGAACTAGAAAGAAATACTATCGCAAACTGTAAGAGACATTACATCCATAAAAAATTTTCCCAGTCCTCATATTGTAATATTGCACAGTGCAATTGCTACATGGCGAACTAGTGTAGCATAGAAATCCAAAGCAAAAATAAAAATAAAAAAAAAGAAAAGAAAAAAAGCCACAAGTCTACAAGTTGTTAAACAGTAACAGTTCAAACTTAGTAATCAAGTCTCTATCACTGGGTAATTCTAGAACAAGTCTTCCTACAGCTTGCAGTGTGATTTAACTTTTACTTAACACAAACCAAGTTAATTAGCAGTAAAAACAGAAAATTTAAAAACTAAAACCAAAAAAAAAGTTAATACAGTAGCATAGTAGCATATTTGACCAATAAAACACCCTGAAGTTAAAAACTGAACACAAGAAATTCATATAAAATCTTGCAAATTAATTATGCAGATATGCAATTCTGTAGTCATGCAGTGTTTTATTTAAAAAAGGCATTAAAACAGTAACATGTATAAATGCTTCTCAGAGGATGACTTTGTGTTTTTTGTTTTTGTTTTTTTTTTTTTTTCTTCCCACAGAACAGGCCTTCTGCCTGAATGCTTTTTTTCTGCAGTTGGGCCCTGGACACTTGGACTTACAAGAGTCCGTTCTCTCAGAATGTATTGCAGGATTGGGGAAAAGCCATCCATTACGTTGAATTTAAGCTGTGGCAGAATCCCAAATTTGTCGTCCACTGAAATGCAGACATTCCTAAACTTACAATACGTAGAAAGAGCAGCAGATCTAACGTGGGGCACATTTACAGCAACTTCTTCCTGCATACGGCAGGCTACTGTTGTGATATACAGATAATTGTGTCAATTTAACAAGCACAGTCGCTTAAAACCTTAAGCACAGTAAAAAGAAAGTACAGTAAATACATTAGACCACTGAAAATCCCCATGGCCCCAGAAAAAAAAAAAAAAAGCTTTTTTTTTTTTTTTTTTGTTATCACAATACAAAATTCATCTACTCCATTTGCATTGGTGATTTGTGGTGTGTCCATTGCCTGCAATGGAGTAAGCACCAGAAAAGCGTCAATTCCCACCACGAGGGAGTTAACAGAAAACAATCTGCTGGACCATATAGTACAGGTTTGAAGTGGCAAGGTGGATATCCAATTTGAGCATTTTCTTGACTCCATATATTTAGGCTTTATCTATGTGTTGATAAGATTTCAGATTAATCAGGATACTCCTAGTTCCTAATGCATACTTTATATACACATTTATACTTGTACAAAATGCATAGAGCTGATTACTAAAAACACTGAAACTTTTGGGAAAAGTTAGGTTTCTTAATTTTCAGTGTGATTAAAAATGTACTGCTGGTATTTTTGTTTGTTTTACGATCTAATACTGTTGTATTTTAGTTATTACTTAAATAAATCAAATGTAGGCACATTTATTTCATTCAGACATTCATTAAATAAAACACTGCTTGTGTTAGTGGAGTAAAGAAAAAGTTTACCAGTTATTAGCTTATTGACAGAGTTAAAACTCAAATGCTTTGCACTCTTATTCCAGTCAACATTGCAAAGATTGTATTCCAGATTTTGTTTTAAAAAAAAGTTAAGTCAAGCCTGCAAGATGCAGCTGCTTAAGTGTCTACACAATGCCAATATGAAAACATAAAAAAAAAATTAAGTTACACCAATACATCCATTTATATGCAGTGATGAGCTCAAAGTTAATGGAGATAAAATACTGATGCAAATAACACACCTCAAAAAAACATATGCAATCATCTTTCATCATTTACAGTATAGTAGTTACGACACTTCAAACATGAAAACAAAAGTTAAAAAAAAAAACAAAAACAAACAACCCAAAACCCGGCTTCTATTTCATGTAATTAGACTTGTACAGAAATCAGAAGGCTAAGAAAGAACTAGTTAATCACCTAAGTTCACAGCTATCTGAAGTGGCAATCATTATATAGCAGCTTATCTATGATACATTCAAGATAAATGATACAATTTATTACTTGCCCATAAGCTAAAACACAGCCTCAGTTTCATACCTTCTTTAAATCCCATCTCTACACTACAGTATACTTGAGGTCTATGAAAAAAGTAGCTACCTTTTATAGGAAATGGATGATTAAGTCTTTGGTGCTGCAAAAGCAACTTCATTTGAACAAAACGAAAAACAAAAGACACACCTCCTAAGGAAAATAAAAAGAATGCAAAAAGCATGTCATTTACGTCCCTGACGGAATGTATTAAATAAGCAAACACCCCCAACAGGCTAAAACAAATACTATCATGTAAAAAGACTAAAATCTCTCCCATGCATAAATGAAAGATTGCACACAAAGAACTCACATCTTTTCAAGCTTCAATAGTAAATATTCTGCTACTAGTTATTAAATACTGCATGGTTTGCTCAAGCTAAGATGAAACCACATCATGAATCAATGAGCACTTTGCTTTTTCTTTCATTATCTAGTCAGTCATGCCTACTGCACCTCTAAACATTTTATTATATCCAATTAGACAAACACTTTTAAAATAAACTACTTAGATTGTATTGCAGTTCCATTTAACAGTATGAAATACTGTGTTGTGTGTCACTACTCAAGAGCTACTGAATCAACTTTCCTTAAGCACTACTAAAGTCTTTCCTTGAAGCTAGATCATTCTGGGAAAAAAGACAGCAAAGTTCAGCTACAGCAAAACATGCCGCCTTCTCGTAAGGAAAAAACACCCAATACTAAAATCATACCACACAAAACCCAAAATGAGCAATACGCTATCAAAAAATCAGCAGATCTGAATTTTTAAGTGCTGCAGTCCTCAACATTGATATATAAGTAATAACATTAACAACCTCAAATATTTAAGGCACTATGTGTGGGAACAGTTTACAATGCAGCTGAGATTATTAGGACAACAACATTTAAGAGCAATGTTTAGGCTTTTTTTTTTTTTTTTGCCCATGCAAAAGACACATGCAATGTGAAGAACAACAGCTCAACTTTTAGGTAAGTGACTCAACATTTAAACACCAAGATACGTAACACAAACAAGTTACTTCTACACTGTACTGCTGACATATGTGCATCTGTTGCTCTAATTCTGTACACTGAATGGCTTCCCAAATGTAGACGTGTCTTGCACTAGTTAGAAGGCAATTTTATAAAAAATAGCAGGAGCAAAAACAGATTTCTGCTCCCATAAGTCACCTGTCTAAAGTTACTATATAAGAAGATAACATGACCAAAGACAAGTTATACCAAATGTGCAAAACACATTAAAAGTGAGTTTTTTTTTTTTTTTTTAAAGCTCAGAGTTGTTTAAATTGCACCCAAGTCTACATGATTCAAAAAAATAATTTTCCTGTTGTGCCATGGCTAATATTTAATAAATACCATGTTTCTTCTTAAATCAAACTTCTGTGTCATTGAGCTTCCTCAATATACTTTATTTGAGTTCTCACATAAATGGATACTGGCTGAGTTTTGTCGGACTCAGTGGAAATCCTGTGTAAGCAGGTGATGCTGCAATGTACGAATGTGGTGGAAAAATTGGTTTGTACTGAGTCTGATGAATGGTTGGGGAAGGTAAGAGACGGGGGTTTATGCCAACTGGA